AGGAACTGGAAACACAGGGGATCCAGGACAGATGAACCCCTCAGGACTAGTGGTGAGAGTGGTAATACTGGGAGGGAGGAGGGAAGGGGGGGGTAGAAAGGGGGAACCGATTACAAGGATCTACATATAACCTCCTCCCTGGGGGGTGGACAACAGAAAAGTGGGTGAAGGGAGACATCGGTCAGGGTAAGATATGATCAAATAATAATTTATAAATTATCAAGGGTTCATGAGGGAGGGGGGACAGGGAGGGAGGGTAGAAAAAAAGAAAGAAAACTGAGGAGCTGACTCCAAGAGCCCAAGCGGAAAGCAAGCATTTTTAGAAGGAAGAAGGCAACGAATGTATAATGTATATTGATGTATGTGTGGATTGTGAGAAGAGTTGTATGAGCCCCAGTAAAATGATTTAAAAAATTTTTTAAAAACAGGGAAGACATTTCTGTCATGGTGCCAGTAAGAGACCCAGAACAAATTCAGGGCACGTCTATAGGGAGGCCAACTGGCCAAGTATCAAGTTTGACCCAGCATCATCAAGAAGACCGTGGTCTCTGCGTGACAGTTAGGCTGTCCAAGACTCTTGGCCTGTGGCAGGGCAGACCTGCAGCGGCCCCGTCTGACTAGGACTCCGCAGATGGGTTTGGGATCCCACTGTCCTCGATAGCCCACCACACACTGGGTGATGACCCCAGTATTAACAGCGGTTTCCTTTTTAAAAATCTAGAAGACAATAAATGCTGGCAGGAGTGGGAAGAGAGTGGCACCCTCACATTCTGCAGGTTGGACTGTAAACTGGAGCAACAACTACGGGAAATGGCAAGCTACTGCTTTACAAGGCAGAAAACAGAAATACTATATGGATTCCCCGCTTTTAAAAAAACAGTTCCATTGGCATATCATTCACCTCTCATGCACTTCAACAGTGCAATCATACCAGGAAGAGTTGTGCAATCATCACCACAATCGAGTCTAGAACATGTTCTTCTTTCTTGTGCTCATTGTTGCTAGCTCCCCATTTCCCCCACCTCCCTGCCACGACCGGGACACCATTCCCCAGTTACTGAATCCACACATTTACTTCTCTTGGATTTCAAAGGAAAACATACCCCCTGCCGCACCCCCACCCCCACCCCGCCAACAATCTAACCACGACAAAAAGTACTATAGTAGAAAGTATTAAAAATAACAAATTTAAAATAGGTCAAAAAGGAGATAAAATTACAAGGTGCTTAATTTAACCTAACTGTACTTTCCGATGCATTCCTCACCAGAGCAAGCCTATTCACATTCCTGGTCCATGGGCAGAGGGGATGAGTCCATGTGTATTGCCTTTACTTTGGCTTTGTTTTTTTTTAAAGAAACAACTTTTAAATTGGTCAAAAGGGAGATCAAATGATATTACATTTTAACCTAAATTATATCTACTCTAATGCTCGCTGTCTGATAACAAGGCTATTCATATCCCTCAACTATGGTCAGAGGGAATTCACTGGAGGCCAGGTATGGATCCTGCAACTGGATTTTGGGTTTCCACTCTGACCTCTGGAAATCAGGTGCTCATTGTGTCTATTTTCTGTCTAGCAATCACACTAGTACGCATATACCCTACAGATATATGAGCCACAATGAACACATACACAAAAGGGGACCCAAAATGAACCAGAGAACACTCTGCTGTGTAGAGCTTTCATAATCCTATGCATTTGTCCAGTGGGGCGAGCACGGGGCAACTCTCTCTGAGTTAGTGCACCCAGTGGCGTCGTGTGGGAAGGTTCTCTCTGGTCACAGTGAATTTTTTTGTAATAGTAGTTTCACTTGAACCTCATGTTTTGTGATGGCTGACTTAAGAGAACAATGCGCAGCTGTGAAATTTTGTTTCCTGCTTGGGAAAAATGCTGCAGAATATGTTGTAATGTTGAACACAGCTTACAAGGACAACACTACAGGAAAAACTCAAGTGTATGAGTGGTTTTCTCGTTTCAAAAAAGGTGAGATGTTGATTCATGGCAAACCTTGTTCTGGACATCCGTCAACTTCCCAAGCGGATGAAAATGTTAGCTTATGGTGCATTTGGAGTTTGTTCCACCAGGTCAGACTATTAATCAAGCTTTCTATTTAGAGGTTCTGAAAACATTGCGTAACTGCGTGCGACAAAAAAGGCCTGATTTGTAGCACTGGTTTTGCACCACAACAATGCACCTGCTCACACAGCCATTTCAGTGCGCCAGTCTTTGGAATAAAACAGCATGCCTCTCTTGCCCCATGCACCTGACTCACCTAATCTTGCTCCGTGAGACTCCTTTTTGTTTCCGCAAATTAAGAGGAACATAAAAAGACAGAGATTTGACGACATAGAAGAAGCGAAGAAAAAACGAGCCATCTCTTCAGCCATCTGAAGAGATGAGTTTGAAAAATGTTTCCAAGAATGGAATTGCAGATTTGACAAATGTATTAAGTGTAACGGAAAGTGCTTTGAAGGTGATAGGTTGTTTTATTTAAAAATTTAAATACATAGCTTTGAAAGAAAAAAAACCCTTTTTGGGGAGGGGGTACCCCTTTGTATGTACACCCATGTTTACTGAAGCATTATTCACAACAGCACAAAGATGCATGGATGAATGGATAAGCAAACTGGTGCACACACACACACGATACGATAGTACTACACAATGTTAAAGAATAACAAGGAATCTGTGAAACTACTTCCTAGCATAGAAGATTCTAGAAAATAATACTATATGAAACCTCTACTAGAGAAGTCAAGAAGAAGTTTATACTCATGGAAAGGAACATTATTTGAAAATTACCAGGAGTGGGAGGGAAAGAGATTAAATCACAAACAGTACTCACTGCCTCGAGTCCATGCTGACTCATAGTGACCTTGTAGGCAGTGATCCTATAGACAAGGCAGACTGTCCCTGTAAGCTTCTGAGACTGTGACTCTTCACAGAAGCAGAAATCCCGTCTTTCTCCCAAGCAGCAGCTTGTGGTTTTGAACTGTGAACCTTGTGGTTAATAGCCCAATGCATAACCACTACCCTACAAGAGTGTCTAGCAGATAGGTATGTATTAACTAGGGTAAAGACAATAAATATACAGTTAAGGAAGAGGTCAGCACAGCACCATCAAGGCTAGCGGACACACTGGGACAAGTGTGAGAGTTAGAGACAACAAAGGTAAATACTATTATATACCCAATATAGCAATGCATTCTTATTGCTATGTCAGATTCTGACAATAATCCGAGTGGCTCCATAGACAGATAGGGTTGGAATGTGAATATCTATAAATAAACATATGTTGGTAAGTTGGTATTTTTACATAATAAGAAAAGTAAAAGGGTGTTGCTAAAATTCATAGAAACTTTTAGAAAACAACAATATCAAAATACGAAGCTATTGTTTCTTGAAATACCCCTTCTCTAGGTCTATGTGTTTTTAAAGGTGGTATTCCTATCTCTCTAACCCTTTCCCATGGAATTCTGCGTCCTACTGACACCACATCAAAACAGCAGTTTGGGCATCCTCCAGGGATACCTTTTCAATGACCCTTGAATCTGGGGGACAGAAGTCGGACGGGGTAAGATGAGCCTTTGCTAACCACAGAGTGTCACGATGGAAACATCACTGCTCAGTGCAACTCTCCTGGCCTTGTGTCCATCAATGCAACCTTCGGTCTTCTTAAAACACCTTACAAGCAATCCTACACAATCACCCTGTGTTCTCTGGAAAAACTCTACCAAGATGATACAACGAACAAACAAAAACAGTTGCCACAGTCTTCTCAATGGATCACTTTGCCTTGAATTAACTGGCCCAGCAGATTCCCTCAGACGCCACCATCTTGACGGAGCTTTTTGAAGTCCCCCTAAGAAGACTAACACAACGTATTACTCAGAGAGAACTTGCCTGGGTCTATCCACTGACTACACAGACCTGCTTAAACATACTTTGTTTGGAATAAGTCTGTGCATTTATGAACTGGACCGCCAGTAGCAATGTTTTCTGACTTAACCTCTTAAGTACATTAGGCTGCAAATATATGCACGCATGTAGCAAAGCACACAGAGGCAAAGTTATGAAAATGCCAAAGCTCTAACCAAGCAGCTAGAGGAAATGAGGCACCAAGTCTGGGGCTCAGGACCGTAGCCTTGGGATATGCTAAGGTCAAATGACACAGCAAAGTCCCCAGAGACAGTATCTTGTGGATCTCATATTAATAAATCATAAAACATGGAATCCCACAGCGATTAAAACAAGTGGTGAACAAAAAAGAGATTAAAAACAAATGTGTCAAGATTTGGAGAGCCCCATGAAATTCTATAAGCAGAATTTCTTTCTAGAAAGAAATTCAACTCTTTTCTCCTAAGCTAAGTGGTAGCATCCTGAGCCTTTCCAAGTCTGAGATGTATCAAAGAAAGCAGGAACCCCACATGAGAAGAGGTGGCTATTTCCTTTAAAGCATACCTGAATTCAGCCGTTGCTGTAAAGGACTCGTGTTCTGTGATTGAGAACACTAAGAGAAAGCCTTCCCCGCTCCGAAAGTAGTTGTCTCGAATGGCTGCATAGTCCTCCTGGCCCGCCGTATCCAGAATATCGATCTGAACTTCTTCTCCATCAAGAACCACTTTCTTCCTGTAACTGTCAGCTTTGGTAGGTTCATAGTCCTCCACAAACTAAAGAAAGAAAGAGAATGATTGGGAATCAATTAAGTTTTACGGGGACGAAAATCTGTGAAATAAAACCAATAAATGGGGGCTTGGCCTTTAATGAACTGAGTATTTATAACTATCACACTGTTATTGCTGCTGTTAGGTGCCATTGAGCAGGTTCTGACCCACGCTATGCCCAACAGAATGAAACACTGCCCGGTGCTGTGCCACAATCATTAGATACCACTAACTCCAAACCATTATAGACCACTAAAGCCCAACTGAATGAAGCCCTAGTTCAACTTTCCTCATCCAATCCCCCAAATACCTTGGTTTCTCTAATGCCACCTAACAGATGCGAAATCTAGGTCTGATTGTACTCAGACATATCTCTTTTAAAGTGTTCAAGAAACAGTTGTCCATGTAGGCAGCGTTTCTGTTCTGACCTGAACTCTCCCTACAGGGCCAGCAAAGGAGAGTCAAGCAGGGACTTCTCTTGTCACTGTAATCCAGGGGTCCTCAGGGGGCCAGTTCACTGTCCCTCAGACCCGTTGGAGGGCCAGACTATAGTTTTAAAAAAAAACTATAAACAAATTCCTATGCACACTGCACATATCTTATTTTGAAGTAAAAAACAAACGGGGTAAAATCACCCGGCGGGCCGGATACATGTCCTCGGCGGGGCCGTAGTTTGAGGATGTCTGCTGGAATCAAAGCTGTGTTGTCACATGGGTCCAACATCAGCTGCATTGTTCACATTAAGTAAACAATGTAACTTCTGACAGTGACGGGGGAAAGATGGATAAAAGCCAAGCATTACCTTGTTACATTAGAGAACTAGGAAGTTTAGAAGTCTATCACTCGAGAAAAGATCCAAGTTCTTATGGCAACTCAGAAGCCCAATCAATCCCTCCCCAAATTAACTAGTCACGTTGCTAAATAGCTGGTGTATTGTTTAGAAACACCTTTACAAGGATTCCTACCTCCTCCCTTGCACTTGGCCAAAAAGACAATTCGAAGCATAACAAGGGACATAAGGCAGGGCCCCTGCTCATGTAAAAAACTGTTAGTTAGTTATCATCTAATAGGCTATGACTCAAGAGGACCCCATGTGTGCAGAGCGAAACTACTTCAACGAGGTTTCAGGGCTGTGACCTTCAGAAGCAAAGCATCGGGCTTTCAGCTAGTCGCCAAGCGCGCCTCCGTGTACCACCGCGGGGCTCCTTGAACCAACGCTGACTTATCGTGGACCTAGAGGGTGGAACGGAACTGCCCCAAAGGGTTTCCAAAGCTGTAAAGCTTTTGCAGACGAATGATGATGGCAACAGATGTACAAAGGTGTTTGATACAATTGATATACGGATTGCTAGAAGAGCTGTAGAGCCTCAATAAAGTTATTTAATTAAAAAAATCTTTTGCAGAAGTGCACTGCCACATCTCTTGCCTGTATAGTGGCTGGCAGGATAGAACTATCGTTATCGCAGCGGAGCACTTTAACCACTGTGCCTTAGGGGCTCATTCCTTTTCTAAAAGTAGATCTTAGGCTGGTTAAGCGACACAGAACCTTATAAAGCGTGTGCAACCACATTAACACCAATGTGCTCAATGATTCTCTTGGAATCTGGGGAAACGGGTTCAGAAGCTGAGCTGGAGAAAGGACAGGACACTGTTGCAGCCAATGCACAATGGAGAAACTGGTGACGGACTTGCTTACCTCATCATACATAAACTGAAGAGTCAGGGCTGACTTGCCAACACCTCCACTGCCAACCATGATCACCTTGTGGAGAGCCAAGGAGCTCTGGCTCTTGTTCTTGTTGGCAGCCATTCTGCAGGTTTGCTGGGTTGCAGCCGTGGACAGAAGACCCGGTTGAAGAGCTGCCTATGAAAAGGCAAAAACTTAGAGGCAGCCTAGTTGCAATCAAATGGCTGCACGACTTCCAGAAAAGCCGAATGAAGGCATTTCTACAGAGAAGTGATTCTTCTAGGCTCTGAGGATTGATAACTATGAAAGCCATTCACCAGAACAGAGGCAGGGCATAAGGGAAGCCAGGACAAAGGAAAACAAGTATCCAAAGCCCGTGTCACTGGGAAGGTGGACAGAACAACTCTTCACCATGAGGCCGATGACCAACCAGCTCTGAGTCCCCCTGTCCTTGCCCCTACCCTAGGCACCTGCTGCCACAAGGAACCCCAATTCCCACCTGTTTATTTTCTCTTCTGTCTTCTGGCCAAAGATCACACATGCCCTGGTACAAATACCACAAACCTCCATATGGAGTAAGAAGGTGACTTTTAAAAGAAGGATAAACAGGTGTATTTTTTAAAATATCCCTTTATAACATACCATAGAGTTAAAAGAATGAGAACCATATTATTTATATGTTTATAAAAAGCAACACACTGAAATTAAATTTATAAAATAAACTATTCATAAAAAACTGTTTAATCTCATCCAAAAGGAGTTAAAAGGAATGGGCAACAACCAGCAACTTAAGACTGCCAGGTGCTTGCTATTTTCATACTCTGCTTTCTGGGGCACGGCGTGGTCCTGCAGACAGCTCTGCCACCGTGAATGAGCATTAATGAGATCTCTGCCTTTAGCCTGTATAAGTGAACATGCCATGTATCTTCACCTAAAAACGTTTTCTCAATAGTAATTTAAAATCTATACCATGGTATAGTACTGCTGAAACACATAACTGTCCGACGGCTCTTTAATATTTCCTCCCCTTACTATTACGGTCTTTGTTGGGCCTCATTAATCTCGTAAGCCCTGTGTATGTTCACTGGTATAATTAAGATTGTTCAATGCATGAAAGAAAAGATAAAAACCCCTTCAGAAACAGTATAGGGAGTAATGACTCCCTGAGGGTACTGGAAGGTGGGGGAGGGGGAAGCTGATAGCACTGATGACTGTATAACCCAACAGAAGGAAATGAATAACAGAATTGCAGGTTAACAGACACATTGGATGGTGTAAGACATGGCCAAATATATATATGTATTTTTTTATTTTATATATATGGGTTCCCTAGGGGGAGAGGCAGGGGACAGAGAGTTCAAGAAGAAAGAAAATGTTTTGAAACTGATGGTGGTAGTCATTGTACAATTATGCTTCATCTAATTGAATTATGGGCTGTTCTAATATCTAAGTGCTCCCAATAAAATGATTTTTTTAAATCTATACCATTAATGATACTATTATTAGAATTACTAAATGCCTCATGGAGGTTATTTAAATTACTTCTGATAATGCTGCCTCTAAAGTGAGCCAGAGTTATATATAAACAAATAGATTTTGATCTCCAACTAATCATGAGCCTTATAAGAATAATTAGTGCTTGTGATATGGCCTTGTTTAATATTTGATCCCATGAGGGGATCCTTGAAGACATGCGTGCTATAGCAAAACGTGGGGAAGAAAGCACACGGTGCTTTCAGAAAGAACAGGGCTGCCTTCAAACACGCGGCTGTCGAAGTGAGGAGTCATCTAAATCCACGTGACAGGAGCACGCACCCTGTGTGATACAGGGATTACAAATACAGACATCCAGGGTCAGAGAAGTGAAATGAATTAGAGCTGACGTTCTAAGGACCTAGTCTGCAGACGCTATGGATGACAGCGAACGTCTAAGATCCATTTGCAGAATCCACACACGAATAAGGCACCATTGAATTCCCTCAGACTATTGGCCAGGGATGTGAAGTCTTGCCCTCCAGGTGTGTTGTAAAGTGGATTACTGCAGACACAGTTAAGTTAAAATTTAACATCTTACCATTTGTTTTCTTTTTGAGCCAATTTTTTTCCTTTCATTTTACTTAATCATTTTAATGGGGGGCTCGAACAACTCTTATCCCAATCCATACACCCATCCATTGTGTCAAGCACATTTGTACATTCGTTGCCATCATCATTCACAAAACATTTGCTTTCTACTTGAGCCTTTGGTATTAGCTCATTTTCGCCCTCCCTCCCCCACCATCACTCCCTCATGAACCCTTGATAATTTATAAATCATTATTATTTTGTCATGTCTTACACTGTCCGACATCTCCCTTCACCCACTTTTCTGTTGTCAATCCCCCAGGGAGAAGGTTATATGTAGATCCTTGTAATCGGTTCCCCCTCTCTACCCCACCCTCCCTCCACCCTCTCGGTATCACCACTCTCGGCACTGGTCCTGAAGGGATCATCAGTCCTGGATTCCCTGTGTTTCCAGCTCATATCTATACCACTGTACATCCTCTGGTCTAGCTGGATTTGTAAGGTAGAATTGGGATCGTGATAGTTGGGGTGGCGGAAGGGGAGGGTGGAAGCATTTAGGAACTAGAAGAACATTGTATGTTTCTTCATTGCTACACTGCACCCTGACTGGCTCATCTCCTCCCCGCGACCCGTCTGTAAGGGGTGTCCAGTTGCCTACAGATGGGCTTTGGGTCCCCAATCTGCACTCCCCCTCATTCACAATAATCTGATTTTTCGTTCTTTGATGCCTCCTGATACCTGATCCCTTCGACACCCCGTGATAACACAGGCTGCTGTGCTTCTTCCATGTGGGCTTTGTTGCTTCTGAGATAGATGGCCCCTTGTTTATCGTCAAGCTATCTTTTGATAGCCAGGCACCATCAGCTTACTTCACCACATTTGCTTATGCACCAACTTTGTCTTCAGCGATCGTGTCAGGAAGGTGTGCATCATAGAATGCCAGTTTAATGGAACAAAGTATTCTTGCATTGAGGGAGTACTTGAGTGGAGGCCCAATGTCCATCTGCTACCTCAATACTAAACCTATAAATATGTGCACATAATTCTATTTCCCCATTCTCATATATAAATATATTTACATATATACATGCCTTTATTTAGACCTCTATAAATGCCCTTTGCCTCCGTTTTTTCATCCTACTTTCCTTTTATTTTCCTCTTGTCCCACTATCATGCTCAGCCTTCATTTGGGTTTCAGTAATTCCTCTCGGTTACACTGCCCTTGATCAAGCCCTACCAGGCTTCGTACACCCTTCTCACCACCGATTTGGATCACTTGTTGTTTACTTGTCCCTGGGTTTGTTAACACCACTTCCTTTCTCCCCACCCGCCTCCCATGTCCCTCCAGAATTGTTGGTCCTGTTGTTTTCTCCTCCAGATTGTTCATCCAGCCTATCTTATTTAGACAGACCTGCGGAGATAATAACATGCACAAAAAGACAGAGCAAAACAAAGCAAAAAAAGAAAACAAAACAATAACAACAAAAGCCAATGACAAAGAAACAACAACAACAACAAAGAAAAGCCTGTAGTTAGTTCAAGGACTGTTTGTTGGCCTTTAGGACAGTTTTCCGGTATAGTCTGATGGGGTGGCACACCCTGGCCCCAAAGTCTGTTTTTGGTATTCCCTGGGGACATCATTGCTCTGTTCCCCTTGCTGTTCTGTTCCACGCCCTTAGTGTTTTGCCTCAGTGTGGTGGGATCAGATTCGGGTGGAATTCCCACACTGTCTCCAGTGTTGTACCCCGTAGGGTTATGGGTCAGTAAGGGATGTCATGTCTCATAGTGGGGCCGACCAAGTGGTCTTCTCTGTGGATTGGCTGCTCTGGGAATATCGTCGTCAAGGCTTGGTGGGCCAGGATGTGCTCCACTCTCTCTTCTTCCCCTTTCATTTGCTCCTGTGTGATCTGATCAGACATGTCCCTCTCCCTGAGCTGCAGCCTCAGTGCTGTCCTCTGAAATAAATTCTTCTGGGGGGTGGGGCAGGTGTCCACGTAATTGGGATTGGGGTAGGCCCCTCAGACCTCTCCACTGGTTCCCTACTCCATGCTGGCATGTTGCATTCACATCTTGGAGCACCAGGTTGAAGTCTGGTCCCTCTTTCCCTGTGGAGATAGAAACAATACCCTCCCCTTGGGTGGGTTAGTGCCCTGTTCCCCTGCTACCCGTTTCTTTTTTGTTTTTCCTTTCCCCCGGTCCTTTTTAGTTGGCTACCATATACATCCCTGGATTTGGTCTGGCCCCTGCCATATTACTTGGCCCTCACCCCGGGTATGTTTGTATACAGTAGCTTTTTCCCTATGTCCCTTTTGCAATTTTTTTTAAGCTTACCTCAGCGAGCTCATGTTGTACTTGTCCTTTTGTGCTTGGCTTACTTCACTTAGCATGATTTCCTCCAGTTCTTCCCATGCGGTGACGTGCTTCATGCATTCATCACTGCTTTTTAGCAATGCGTACTACTCCATTGTATGTATGTGCCACAGTTTTGTAATCCACTCATCAGTTGATGGAAATTTGGGTTGTTTCAAACTTTCTGCAATTGTGAACTGTGCCACGATGAACATTGGAGCACAGAGGACTGGCCGTGGTTTCTTTGTTTTGCCTCTTCTGGGTATATGCCCAGTAGGGGGATTACTGGGTCGTATGGTAGCTCGATTTCCATGTGTTTTAGATATCGCCAGATCGATTTCCATAGTGGCTGTACATACCTACAGGTCCACCAATAGTGGATGAGAGTTCTTGTCTCCCCACAACCCCTCCAACACTTGTGGTTTTTTTATTTTTTGAATTGGGCTATCTTTGTGGGTGTTAGGTGGTGTCTCATAGTTGTTTTAATTTGTATTTATCTTATAGCTAAAGATCGGGAACATTTCCTCATATGTTTATCGGCCATTCGGATTTCTGCCCCTGTGAAACTTCTGTTCAGGTCCTTTTCCCACCTCCTCAGTGGGCAGTTAGTTTTTTTCTTTTTGGAAGCTAGCAGAGTATTATAGATTTTAGTAATAAGGCCTTTGCCTAATGTGTCATTGCTAAAGATGTTTTCCCAGTCCATGGACTCTCTTATTACTCTCTTGGTGAATTCTTTCGATGCACACAGGTGATTTGTTTTCAGT